GGACTAAACCCTCTTCTCCAAAGTAGAAGAGGCAGTTGCAGCTCTCATTTTCCAAGGCTTGCCTCCCGGACTGGAGGATTCCCAACCATTGTGACTCCATCCCCAAATGGCCCAGAAGACATTCTCTGCGTATTCACTGTCTTCCGAAATCATAGAGGATATGGATAAGCCTCTAGAGAGGCAAGAGAGGTGGAGAAAAGAGCTCATAAAGCGGGCCGAGGGCCGTATATAAAAATGTAAGTGTAAATTGAGCTTGGATGGAGACAAAGCTAACAAAAGATAAATAAATATTCAAATAGACTACATTGGTGACAATAAGATCCCTGATATGCTGCTAAGAGGCTCGACGCTGAGCTAAACCTGCCTGGCAGGAGGACAAAGCGGAAGGCGGACATTATGAAGATTGGAGAGGATTCTTATAGTGAACTCGACACTATGAAACCCTTTAAGTGGAGGTGTGGCTTGCAATTGCGGCTCCAGCTCCACAGAATCGTCATGGCTTCGGGCAAAAGCTGTCAAGATCAGCTCAAAAGGACTTAGAATATAAGATAGGTTCATTTTACCTCCGAGAAACCGATACCTGGGCGGATTTCCTGGCCAGAATTGCGAAGGAACTGGGTCTCAAGCCAGCCGAGAGTGTACCTGTTGCTCAAATGCGCTGGAAAGGCCAAGAAAAGTCTGGAGAGATATTTCCACTGCACAGCGAAGCTGCATTTCCCAGCATGAAGTCGTAGGTGTCGAACAAATCTAGCAGAATTCATCAAGTGTTCGTCAGACTCCCCAAGCCGGAGCACTCTGCTATAACTTCTGGTACTGTATGTCTTTCAAAACAACTATATTGTACATGGAGCACTAAACTATTCCAAACAGGCTGACGGGGAGGAGGAGGATGCAAAATTAATTCAAGGCTCAACATTATTTGACCCTGTAAGGATCTTCGTTCATACCACCCCGACTCTAAATATTAGAAAGGCCGTCGAAAATAAGATGACAGAAGTCCTGGAACAGCTGAAGAAGAAATACCCAATGGACACATGCAAAAAGCACCCAGATATCCGCCGTGTTCACCAAGAATCATCTGCAAAACACTTCAGTGTTGATCATATTGCTCTCAAGTCATGGGCGGTGGCCATAGTGAGCTCCTTGCCAAGTCTTAGGGGCTGAGACTAACTTACCGCTTGAAGCTCAAGAAGGAGACAGACATCGACCATATACCACAGAACAATATACTCAAGGATTCTGTTATCAAAATGACCCGGAAAAGCACATCTTCAGTCACAGAAATCACTAACTCTGCTGGGCCTCTCGCAACTATCGACCCTAGCATGATGCTGGGGAGGCTTAATCCTACAGTGCTTGGTCAAATGATTGGTGCTTCACTCATGCCAGTATTTACGATGCACAGAGGTTTTCCTCCTCAACATATCGACACCACTCATCTCCTTTCCTTACCCAAAACTCCACCTTCACCACCAAATGCCTCACAAAATGATCGTGAGACATCACCAATCAGATTCTGTGATACTAAAAATATCTCATTGGAAACTTGGGGACAAAAATATGGGATCGCCGCGGACTCTATGACACTCTTGAAGGAGATAGGGTTTGTTCCTGGGCAATCTCTGGATGATTTCAGAGAGAGATATCCAGAGGAATACAAGAATACAGGTTTTAAACCGCTCAAATGGGATCGAGTCACCAAGGCGGCAAGAGTTTGGAAGAAAGCGCTTGCTGTGATGGCTGGGGAAGATTAAATCGCTTGCTACGTAGATTAAAATGATCATTTATCCATTATCGAGCCATTTTACTTGAATTATTCTAGCAATATCCAGAGTGAAAAAAACAGCCTCTCGATTTGACAGCTGTCACTGCACTGCATGCAAGTAATAAGGTCTGTTGTGGATCTCCATCATCATTTGACGATATTGACGTCGGAGGTATGCTTTCACTAGGTGCCTGTGAGCGATGTCACACCAACTATCAAAGCCTCACCAGCGGAGAAGCTCTCCTCAATTAGGTTCAACTCTGGTGCATAGGTGGTACAAAGTGTATAACACAACCTTGGGCAGTATTATTCTCCCAATTTACCATGTTCACCAAAAGTAGCATACCCATTCCCTCAATTAGATCTCGCAGATGCTCGCTCTTGTGAACTGAACAATTTCCCATCAAACTTACACTTCTTGGCGCGGGAAATGGTTGCATATGAGGCACCTGGGCTGTGTCAGTTGTTGCGAAATCAGATTGAGTTCAATGGGTACTTACCACGTCGTTTATGATGAAGTCTAAGAACTCCAGACTATCTAAATTACTCTCTACAGCACGTACAGCAATATATTCATCCACTGTCATTGCTGGAAGGAGTGAGAAGCGGTCCTCTCTGGGAGCATCCACCTGTCGAACCACATCCTGACCTCTACAGAGCCACCTGTTGTTCTGTAGAGTGTCCTAACATCTTTAATTGATCCATCAATTGCAATGATCTGGTCTGTGCGAGAGCGGCGCCCAAAATCTGCTTTCCAGGCAGCAATCTCCTCCTCATCTCGACCATATGCGCGCAGCTTGAGCTTCTTATGAGAGTATCCAAGGTCCTTGATAGCTCTGTAAATGGTAGACTGGGATATGCGGGCGTCCTTGAGCAATGCCAGCCACTCATGTACTTCCTCGAGAAGGAGGTCCGGATTGTTGGTGAGGAGCTCGTCAAGATGCTCTACATCCCAAGCATTAAGATTGCGAGGTTTTCCAGAGAGGACTGAGCGAGGGGGGGACACGGATCCATATTTTTCATAATTTTTCTTCCATCGCTTCAAACTTGACTTTGAGACGCCGGGGATGCTTGAAACGTCATCATAAATCTCTGTATGATCAAGGAGGAAGAGACAGCGTTGCTTAAAGTCATTGCTGATTTGCCTATATGGCATACTATGCAGGAGCCTTGGCACGGGTTCAAGCGTAGTCCCACCCAGACTCCTTCCGCCCAAGCCATAGGCCTCATTCTTTGGCATAAAGTCATTCAACTCAGACAAAAATTATGGGCACAAATTTGAGATTTATTATCACCCCCTGGATTTTAGACGCAAACTCTGCACAATTAGGTTTGACTCGGGGTCAAGGTTTTTGACAACGGCTGTAAATGCCAGAATGTAAGGTGGAACCATAGTAGGTGTCCCATGCAGCGACGGTCAGCGTGCACACGAAAAAGTACTTGTGCGCGCTCAGGCGCGGCGGGAGATTGAGATACGGAGGCAAAAGTGCAGAAATATCGAGTCCCGCTCATGGTCAACGATGGTCATGGAGGAGTCCAAGTGCAGCCCTTGCTTTGTCCGCGCCAACTAGGGAATCCATACCGACGCCGTGGGTAAAACACTGCCACTGCGACTTAGGCAACGTTGGGATCGGTTCAGGTGATGCGGCTTATATCACCAACGAGTTATAGATCCCCGTACTCAACCCTCACTACCGGCACGCGGTATTGGCCATTACGAATAGGCGCGCGTAACCACCTTAAATTGGGTCAATAGCCTTGATCAACCCTTGTGCCAGCACCTCTCAATGCTGATGAACCTACACAATACACGGACATTGCGGATATATGACAACTCCGCGTTTACGGAAAAGAGGACCCTGGCTACCATTTACTACGGCGCAGGATATAACCCCCCGGCCCTCCAGTCCCTCCCTCTCCTCTTATTCCTCATTCCTTCCTCTCTCCTTTGATCTCCCTCTCATTTACTATGCAGGTCAACGAGGTACCTACTTCACGTCCATTGTCCGTCCCCGGGAGGGATCTCGTCGGTGGTGGTGCAACCTACGACGGGGTGAGCTCGAGCTATCTAGGAGACGGAGGCAAATCCCCTTGGCCTCGCGATACCGCATACGATTCGGAAGAAAAGGCTGGCGAGCGTCCAAATCCACACCGCAAGTATAGCAAAAAGTGGTTCGACTACGCTCGCAATCGGGCCGTCGAAGTCGGCAGATGGCCCCAGGTGACTTATGCGTCCATCGGAATCATCTTGATCGTCGTCTGGGTGGCATCATGTAAGCATCCACGGTAGTTTCCCGTGCACAGGCTGACCGATGTCAGGATCGTCTTTGCCAAATCAGAAGTGAAAGCCCAGGGAAAAACTCGGATTACAATGGGGGTAAAGGCCGGGTCGGTGGAGGGGCTTCAAAGTTCAGGTGTGACCTACCTTTTGGCATCAGTGTCGGGCTGATATCCCCTCGCAGCTTTTGCTCAAAGGACGCTCAAAAGTTTGACCCCATTGAGCGCAACCTCCGCGTATCATGGGCACTCGTCTACGTCGACAACACTACTGGCATTGTACATCCATCAGGTGAAACTCGAGACAGGTGGCAAGTCAACCTGTACCCGCGACGTCAAGGCCGTCCCCGAGGACCGCCAGGGTAATGCGACCCTCCTCGCAGAGTTCGACCTCACCCAAGCAGAGCTCGAGCGTATCGTGTAGACAATGTTACCCCCCCATCGCTACACTCGGCATGCATCCATTCGACAGCGTCGACACCAATATCGATTTCAACCAGGCGAAGGAGGAGGACGCGTTTGCGCAGCCACTCTTTGCATATCCATTCGACGTTTGTACGGTATTTTCCCCTTTTGGCTGTTCCCCGCTGATCTTTCTTGGATAATAGGGCAAGGGTCCATCGTATTTGCCATCACAGACCGAGGTCAGCCTCTTACCCAACTCTATGTTCGTTCACTTAATCAGACCCAGTGGTCTCGGATCGGCTCAACCTGACAAACAATCACATCCTCAATCCCGGAGAATTATATTGCGCGACAGCACCCGTGAGTGAATCCACCACCCCATGATCTCATCCCAAACTTACAATTGTCACGACAGTCAATTGGCGCATCCAACTCGCCGCAAACAATGCCGACCTCGCCCGGTCGATGCTGGCTGCGAGCTGCACCTGGATTTTACGGGCCGTCGACCCCCGCTCGTCAAATTCGCCGCCATTCTCGCCGTCATGATCAACTGGGCGAAGCACCATTGGCATCTTCTTGCTCACATGCGAATCCGTCGTCATGCGTCGTACCTACATCCTCTCCGACACGGATATCCTCGGCGTTTGCGTCAGCGCGCTCTTTGCGCTGCCCAGTGTCAGAGCTATTCTACCGGGTGCACCAGATTTCGGTGCAATCAGTATGTCCTTCCCCATTCACTATCGTTCCTCCTCAGGCTAATGATGTTCGTTAGTCGACTTGATTGGAATCATTCCGAATATCATCGTCGTATCGCTTTGCACGACGGCTATCGCACTCTCGAAACTCACCATGCGCCGACCGAAGAACGAATAGATTGGTGCCGGCGAACACAAACGAGGTTTGCCCACTTTTAGCGGCCGTATTATCTCCTCTGTCTGTCATTTAACGCGCTCTTTCGTAAATATTTTGTATCAGAGACTTTCTTTCTAACAAAGCACACCTTCGTTGTCGACGGGCTACCCAAAGCGACGCTGCTGAGTCGCTTCAGCTCATGCGACATATGGGGACGAGAACAGTAATGTCATAATAACTCGACGGCATTCAAGAGAGGACAAACTGCAAGATAAAGCCGAGACGAGATCAGGCTTTGGTCTTCATCTGTCACCAGCGCGAGAGAGTGGGCGTAGACAAAGTATAAAAGCGCGCGAGGGCAGTCGATATGCAAACATCGCCACTAGTTGCTGCTACTAGCTGCTAGTAGTGGCTGAACCCCCCCAACGAGCCATTATCCCAGATCCCTTGGCGTGGGCAAAACACCGCCACGTATATTTCCTACCAAGTGCATACTGCCTCAACTCGTAGGGCATATGCTCCCTCAACATGGTTCAAGAGGCTTCGAGAAGTCGCCTTGCTCCTCGCCGCCGACTCTGGAGAGGTTCCACCACCTGGACCATCTCATCAATACGGAACACACCCCTTTACAGTATTCCGGAACGCCCCTGTTCGTGTTGCTGGGCTGGCTGTACCGCCCAAATATTGTATGGGCGCGCATCTTGGAGCTTCCATAAGACCGTCCAGGCAACAGGCCAGACCGTTAACGATACTTGCGAGTGGAATCTCTACCGCGACTTCAAGGCTGTCCCAGACGACCGTCAAGCCAATGCGACGCTCCACCAACAGTATGACCTTACCCAGGAGACTTTCCACAAAGCCGTCTACCGAGTAGATAATGCTACACAGCCGCCTATCGCCACACTGGGAATGCCTACATAGGATAGCGTAGACACCGACATCGACTTTACTCAGGCCAAGGAGGAAGACCACTATGCGCAACCACTCTTTGCATATCCGTTTGATGTTTGTGCGTCCTATTTCTCCTTCACCTGTACCGGAACTCTGCTTATACTCTCTGATATCAGGGCAAGGGTCGATTGTATTCGCTCTTACGGTATACCGAGGGACGACATGGGCATGACGGCAAGCCCTCATTCGGCGAGATACAGCACGCCACCACGTACGGCCTCCCTCCTACTTCATGCTTTCGGCCGACTTCACATTTTCCTACTATCACGAGGACTAGAAGGCACGCAGACGTGAGTCGAAATGTGTTCTACGCTCCGTCTGCCGCGCCGTCCCATGCACTCCTTCGACATCCTGCCGTCGCCTTTCGCGCGGTTCTTCGTACTAGTTTCATCTCTCATTCATATCCTTCTTGTTCGGTACCCAGACGGTTCACCTCCATGCGTCCTCGACCTTCCAAACCGCATCTTTGCTCCGTCTCCATTTCGCTTGTCGATATTCTCTCACGAAACCCCTGCTTTACTCTTCGAAATCCCCTTACATTTCCCTCGTTTTCACCGACGAGCACATATATAGGCTGCCTGTATTTTCGGTAGTATTCTACATGTTATTCTGTTGGATAATATGCGTGTACAGATTATGTAGAGCGAATATATACGCAGAGACTCTTCAGGCGTTGAGTCCTGGTAAGCGAATGAGAGTGGGCAAATATCTTTCTATCTATGATTGAGACGTTGCTCATCGCTCTTATATACATGCTAGAGTTGACGATTACTAACTAAGATTATCTATGAGGCTATACCAATTAGCCCGTGGGGAGCCTGACTCAGAGCCGTGTAATCCTTGATTACTCTTCGGCTAATCTCCAACATACTCACTCTACGCTCTTAACGTTGCCCACGTCAAACGTTCTAAGGTCCCTCTCATCGTCGTTTTCCACCTCCCATCGTCTACGTCCCATCCACGCCTCAACCCCTATTCGCCACCTAATAGACAACGTCTAATTAGCTCACAACGGTCGTAGATTAACCGAGTCAATACACTACCTAATAGACAACGTCTAATTAGCTAGTGTAGGGCGTGAGAAACGGTCGTATGAAAGAGTCGGTGGTCTCACCTCACAACGGTCGTAGGTTAACCGAGTGAGGGACCACCGCCACCAGCGACACGTCGTCCAATCTGGACAGCTACGTTACGGGTGAAATGTACAGACAATTATTACAATGTACACTAGTGTAAACTAACAACCCGATCCATTATTCCATCCAGGCCATCCGGCCCTGTTTTCAACGGACCGAAGTGAGCATTTCGCATACTCCACGTCTAGTTACTAAGTAGTCCCGTATTTCTCGAGAGGGGTTAATCTCATCAACACTGGCATCATGTCTCTCTACGGTGCGATATGAGCGATAGCACCCGTACGTTCGACAAGCCGTTGCCTTTCATCAGGCTCACACTGGAATAGTAAACTGGCGCATTCAAGTCAGCGCAAATGATACATGCAGAGTCGATGCAGTCGATGCTGGATGTGAACTGCATCTCGGCTTTATTGGCCGTCGCCCCGCACTGGTCAAGTTCGCAGCCATCCTGGCCGTTATCGTAAACTGGACGAGCACAATCGATATCTTCCTCCTCACGTGTGAATCCGTGGTCATGCGCCGTGCCTACAGACTCGCCGAGACGGACATTCTCGCCGAGACGGACATCCTCCGGGTCTGTGTTGTTCCCTTTTCGCACCTTGCTCTGTCCGAGCCATTCTGCCAGGTGCCCCTGACTTCGGTGCTATCAGTACGTAATCATTGCTATTTTTAGACGTTTGAGCTAACTGTGTCTCCCAGTCGACTTGATTGGAATGATTCCCAATATCATCATCGTCTTATATCACTCTCGAAACTCGCCATGCGGCGACCGAAGAATGAATAGATTCGTTCTACCGCTGACAAGTGGGCTTCATAGATAACTTATCTTCAGCTTTGGTCACATTTAGGCTTCATGTGCATCTTTACATAATTATCATGTACCAGCGACTTTGATTTCCACAGAACACGCCCCCTTGGGGGACTCGAAGCTGGCCATCACAGGCTCAAGACCCCCGCCACGCCAACCACGGGGATACGCCACCAAATATGGTGGGTATAACCAATATTCACACACCGAAAGCGAAAATAGTAAAGAACTTGCACCGTTAACCGCGCAACAACGGGAGACCCTGACTACCCACATTGCCAAAACACAGCAGAGATATGGGACAGTACACCACGACTAGTGCATGTCATAACCCTCCCAGGATCAATCATTTTGACCCCTAGACGACCTCTAAAGAGCAAAAAGCGAGGAAACTCGGCTGACTCAATGAAAATGTAATGGGTAAAACGATGAGCCGGAAACGCTGACATAGGACAACCTACCTTCTAGAAACCTAGGGAACGAGATATGATGATAAAGGAGCCAAAGGCCTAAGCCCGGCCGCGACAAAGACAGTCCGGGAGACCAGATAATGGCAGAATATACCAAACTACCTAACTGACAATATATAAAGGCAAATCGCCACTAAACCCTCGAAACATTTTCAGAACAAACACGATCCTCCCAAGTCAAATGTCGTACCAAGATGCAATCATGGACAGCAACCATGAAGGCCGCTGGAACGACTCTGGTGAAGAAGAAGCATCCCCCACGGCCTTGAAAGACCAGAGGCGGCAGCAGCAGAATAGAGCGAGTACAGCACAAGGACTAACCAACCGACATCCGAAAAGGAGAAACTACTCCGGACACCACTACAAAGAAACCTTGCTCAAACCTTGGCACAAAGCAAACCACCCGATGCACCGCTGAGAACACACACAGCACCAAGACGCCTCACCACGCCTCCTGTTAGTTTATTGCCTTGTTGTCTTGCCTATGTACATAGTGGCAAGCGAGCGGCCGTAGTCAAACCATACGGGTTTGACTACAACGCTCACTTGCCTAAGTTACACTCTGTTCGACACCGCGTCCCTAAATACATTGAGTTATGACATGAGCTATTACTATTGGCTAAGTCTATTTAGTGAGCGCTAAGAGTCAAAGGGTAAACCTTCAACACTCGCGGCTCTAACCTTCGAAGATCGAGCAAGATGGACGAGGGCGACAATGACCAGGGTGACGATGAAGACGATGACGAGGATGATGATGACACGTCATACATGGAAGGAAATTAGCCAATCATTATTGCCGCAAATGGTCGGATGAAGAGTAGCTTTGGCAAGGCGGCGGACAAAAAGCCGGAGACGGAGGAATAACGCAACCGCCAAGGTCATTCTATACCTTATTTGATCATAATTTGATCCTAATTGATTCGCAGCTGCATTGAAATGCCGCCAGCGCAAAAAGGCTTGGCTCCAGGCTTTGCGGGCCAAAGTCGAATTCTTGTCGGTGGAAAACGAGCGACTTTCCAAGGCTCTCGTCGCGTCTCGAGAAGAGATTGCAGCTTGAGCCAGTCTATCGTCGTGCGAAGCGGCGCACCGTCTGCACTCCTCGACACAGATTAGGTGCCGAGGTGTCACCTAACGGTGTCGAGCGTGCTCACTCGAATTCGAGTGCTAGCACGACGGCGGGCCAGGCCATTCAGGTAAATCTCCTTTCCCGGCAAAAATGGTGCGCCTCCATATATGGCAACTAGCTTGGTACATATACAGTCGCATTCGCAAGGCGTCTTGTATCATGACGAAGGTCAAGTCACGGGCCATGGACGATCCCATAGTCACGGTGGCGTCATGCCGACTCAGAAGAGCGTGTCCGTTGGAGGTCGTGGACACGAGTATTGATTCTTCTTTTCTGATATCCTCTTTACCTCAGCCTCAGCTGTACACAAACTTTCGGACTGGATCCCACGCCCCCATGCGCTCGCCAAAAAACACTTCTCGATGCGCGCATCCCATGCGTCGTAGTTGACTATATCCTACATTGTTGTATCGGCAGTCGCGACTCGATGATCACTCACGCATATAAACGGCACACACTTTTCACATCTCGTATGGCCGGCCTCGGATTCCTTGGGTAACCTCTTACAGACACCGAACTGCCTTGTCCAAAGATCTGCCACCACTATATACACTGCGGGGTGCCAACGGAGGTTTCATTCTTTTCACTCCTGCGTTACTAGTCGGACAAGATCTTGCAATCCTGAGACTCTAGTCCTGACTCGTGCATACCATCCCACTATCCCAGCAATCACCCCCTCAGTTCGCCATGCGCAAACTGCTCGTTGCATTTATCTCATATCGCTTTCTCGCAGGTTATATTGCCCCCCTCTTACCGTATTCCAATAGTTTTGACATTTGTACCACACGATACACAAGAAAATACGATTCTTGTGATGTCCGTCCCCATTGAGTTGGCTGTCTGCAAGTAATAGACAATGAGCACATGAATGAAAACGCCATTTCAACGGAACTGAGATCCCTTATCAAGATACTCGCTATATCTCTTGGGGTTGCACAAACTCACATTCGGGCAGGGTACATACCCGATACAATAAATGCCTATGGACTGCCGAGGGCGACTGTAATGCCGGATTATAGGAGTTCTCGTTTCGTTCGGTCTTCGGAACTATTCCTCCCATGCAATACCATACCCTTGGACAGAACCTACCCGCCACCTGCCCCAGTCAATCGTCCACAAAAGTTGTCCTTTGGAAGTCTCAATGTGCCTATCCGACCTTCCGACATCTTGGCTAGCTTCAGTGATTAAAATTATATCTATTGGATCGTTCGGACAACCTGGCCTCGAGACACAACCCATCCCATGCTGGCAGAGCGGCCTCGGCTATTTTCCTCACTCCGCTCTCTGAAATCCACCATTAATTTGCTCGTAGGCGTGTTAAATTCGGACTACGAGTTCCCCTACTAGAGGGACTACATATCGAAAGACGAAACCACAGTGATGATCATAGGGCGAACATAGCCATGACTCTTCTCCCTCGAGCCGTGAGTGCACCTGGCACTTAATTGGTTCCCTCGATGGGAACATATACACGGCGCCCTCGAGCGCTGGCTTGAGACGCATGGTGGCCTCTACCTTCACGCTCACGATACCATTACGACCTGGCAAACTGGCCCTGGGTAGGATTGTTCAACCACTCAATGGGGTACTACCTAATGCACGGCTGCTCCCTTGTAAACCGGACGACGACGAGGTTGGCGAGTGGTGGCCCAGAATCGGCGCTCGAGATACGGGGTTGCAACGAATCGAAGTTAGCCACTATTTGGTCACATGCCGCTAGCCATCTACACGCCCATAGGTGCGCCCTTCTTGATCGCTAGAAGCCCACCGGGCCTTTGGGGAGTAATCGAGCCCTTTGGCATCAGTAATGACACAGAGTACTAGTATGATATGAATTTTCCATGAAATGGCCCATATATACAAGTTTTTCTCTGCTCCTCTGGTCAACGTCAAGTGTTCAGCCGGAGACGTAAAGAGCCGGGCCTGCGACAATATGGTCGTTAATTAAGGAGAGATTCGCTGGCGTGACAAAGAGATCGGTGTCGGTGACCATTAGGAAGATCGTCTATGCGACTGTTAGGAGACCATCTCTGTCGAGAATAAGACACTCACTCCATTGATAATTTCGGCGCCGTCTGTCGAATCTGTGATCAGTTACTGATTAAAGAAGACGAGACGTGCACTCACGATTCTTGAATATCATACCGTCGGGTTGAGCGGTCTCGGCGTACTGGCCTCTGATATTTTCGAGAGGCGAGTAAGTAACATTGTACCTATAGAACATCAGAATATAAGTATTGATGGGCGACGAGACATACTGGCTCAACCACGCAGCAAACTTAGGGCCACCCTTTGCGTTCGACGACGTGACCTGATTGTATGGTCCAGCTGGAACACCGAGATCCTGCCAGTTCATCGTCACACGTCGTCCGGGAGCTGTCAAGGCAGTGCGGTTGCTCGCGATAGCCGGCTTGTGGTTTGGATCGATCGGGTTGGGATTATTGGTAATGTTGAGGCGTGGATAGATGGGGAAGACGACAGGTTTACGGAAGTTGGATGGTGGGCAGGAGATGATATTCTGCGAGAGGAGCGTCCATTGCATCGCTTGCGTTGCACCTGTCTCAAACCACTGGGTGACAGGGAAGAGACCGGACAACTGGCGGAATGCGA